CTTTGTAGTGCAAAAAACATGAAAGTTTAAAGCTGAATGATGGCTGATATCCTCTGTAACCTAAAAAATACATCTTATATTCTGCCATCACCAAAACCTGTCTGATAAAGAATAATTCCTTTACCTCAAAAACACTTCTAAATGAAATATTTCTGTATTAAACATAAAGTAAGCTAATATGTATGTATAAAAGGGGTTTGTGCAGAATGTTACACTGCAGCAAGAACCCACTCAATGTTCACCAAAAAGCTGTGCCAGTGTATCTCCGACTCTTACTGGGCTCACTATATCCTGTGCCCTTCCTTCTGGTTCTCTGTATACCAGAGAATCAGTCTACTCAGGATCCTCGTAGGCCTCACCATGCTTTTTACACACATTGTGTAGTGTGCAGCATGCACTTATGATGGTGGGGACGTTTCCCCAGGCATCTCCACTGCCCCTTTAGTCTGCCAAACCCACACTCCACTGTCATTCTGGCCCTGCTGTGTCTCGTTAAAGTACTTCTGCTGTTCTGTCAGGTTTCCTGTGTCGGTGTACCCTGTTAGCAGCCACCTTCGAAGGGGATACGTTGGGTCACCAAGCAGCATAATTGGTACTTTGATGCCATTGATCTCTTCTGTGTCCTGGGATAATGGAAATATGACATGGGTGACATTTGGGATAATTAAATATGCTTTCCTATTTCATTTTCAAGAGGTACATTTTTTTAGTGCATTTTCAATGTTTGTCATGACAAGTTCTGACACCAGGTAGGTTTGCCAGTTGGGCAAAATTGAAAAATAATGTCATAATTATGTTGTAATTAAATCAAATTATGAGAAATTAATCATTTCATTTCATATCCTTAATGGTTATAATCTACAAAGAGGATCAATGTTGCATGTACGTGAAGGGTATAGAAAAAAAGACCTACTTGAGGGAACAGTTCCCCTCTTTCTGCCATAGCATAGATTTTTGAATTTTTAAGAACTTTGGCATCGTGGACACTGCCGGGCCATCCGACATATATGTTGGTGAAGCAGTCAAGAGCAGAACATAAAATTAATGTCCAATCTTTAATGTGATATTGTACAGCAATATATTCAAGTGTCCTATTTACTTTAAATGACTTGCCTAGGAACTGTAAAGAAAATAGAAATGAGCTAGTAAAATCTGGCATTTCCCAACAGTGCAACAAAAACTCATATGAAATGAAAATATACTTCTGTATCACATTGAACACGGCTTTTAATAATGCTTGAATCACACTGATTCTCCACTAGAAAAAAAACAGCATAGACCAGCACATGCTGTGCTTGACATTGGTGTGCTGGTCACTAGCTGGATGACCAGCTACATCAGCTCCAGACCATCACTAACTAGCGTGGACTAGCTTAGCATTGACTATGCTGGTCTAAGCTGTTTTTTTTTTTGTTTTTTTTTTTTCAAGCAGGGTGCTAAATGAAGACTGGTTGATACTTTACAGTCAGTTAAAAGCAATAGAAAAGAAAATAATTTAATTCTAATAGACTGTAGAATAGGCTTACCAGAACTGATGATCCATGGTTCCCTGCAGAAGAACTGAATGGCTCTTACGGTTGAAATAGTTGCCATTACTGCTTTCAGGGGCAATGATGAGAATATGACTCCTGTCGATAGCCCCGACACACTGAGAAAAGCTTCATCTTGTTCGAAAGCCTCGTGGGATGTCCTGGAGGTCATCTGTTTGGGGTGGCTTGATATGATCAGGCTTGAGAACATAACGCATGGCCTTGCAAAAATCATACATAATCAAGCAAACAGACGCCTTGCTGATGCCAAACAGGTCAGACAACGTGCCGTAAGCCACCCCTATTGCCAGCTAGTACAACACAACTCCTACGAGCTTTCTCAGAGACATGGTTGGACCTTGTGTGTGTATTTTACTTTTATACATCGAACAGTCGCTGACATATGTAGCTGAAAGTTGCCTGCGACATCCTGAAATTCTGGATGAATTCCGTATCTGAGAACAAATCCACGTCTCAATCCCACCACTCCTGGCTCCAATTTTGAATCCAGATATTCCTCTCCAGTGAAGTAGCTTCCATCAATCCACAGACACCCATCAGTAAAATCTTGGCCTTTTTCCTTCCTCACTCTCATGATAAATTTATCTGGTTTACTCACTGGAAAAGTTTGTATCTGACTCGCAGCAACAGGATTGTTAACTAGGGAAACCGGAGTAGAAGAAGAAGGAGTAGGTGTAGCAACCCTGAGCAATCTCTGAGCTGAGATGAGATGTCCTTGATCTCTGACAAAAGCTGGGTTAGTTGGGCTTGCTGTTCAGCTTGCTGGTGGGTTGCCTATGGACTGAGAAACATAGTCCTGAGCAGACATGTCGGCTGTAGGCACAGCCAGGTCTAAGGGAGGCGTGACATTGGCATAAACTTTTACAACTATTTTATCATTATTAATATTACATATAAAAATTACACATAAGAAGTCACATGTAGGTTCACTGGTCATTTTGTATAGTAAATAAAACAACTTTATAAGTGCTGTTGACAGTGCGATCTCTGCTTCCTATCAAAACCACTGTAAAAAATCTGAGTAAGAAAGTTTCTCTACTATGAATCACATCAGTGAAATATTGAGCTCTGAATGACTTCTTATCTCTCAACAACTGGATTATGCTGAAATTTTGAAAAATTCAGAGGAATTCACTATTTAGACCAGAACAACACCATAGTGACAATCATTAGACTAGAACAAAACCATAGTGAGAAACACTTTCTTTGATTCTCAAGTGCATTTAATACCATACAACCAACCTCTCATGCTGTGGGAGAAGATGGATAAAATGGGTCTTGGACTACCTGTCTGGAAGACCCCAGTATGTGCAGTTGGGAACCTGCCAGTCAGATCATCTGGTCAGCAGCATTGGAGCACCTCAGGGAACTGTGCTCTCCCCCTTCCCCTTCACCTTGTACATGACAGACTTCCAGTACAGGTCGGACCTCTGGCACCTTTAGAAATTTTCTGATGACTCATTAGGGATGGGCAGGAAGGAGAATAAAGAAACCTTGTTGAGTGGTGTATGAGGAACCACCTGCTCCTCAATGTGGCCAAGACCAAGGAGATGGTGGTGGACTTCAGGAGGAAGAGGACCACGATCAGTCCTGTTACCATCATGGGTCAGAACGTCAAGCGGGTAGACACTTATAAATATCTGGGTGTCCTGCTTGACAACAAACTGGACTGGAGGGCCAACACAAGGGCTGTGTACAGGAAGGGGATGAGCAGTCTCTACTTTCTGAGAAGGCCCTTTAATGTGTGCACCATGTTGGCGATCTTCTACCAGTCTGATGTTGCGGGTGCTGTCTTCTTTGCAGCAGGCAGGGGAGGCAGTATCAGAGGCGGAGATGCAAAAAAGCTGAACAAACTGATCAAGAAGGCTGCCTCAGTCTTGGGCCATTCACTGGATTGTTTTGAGGTGGTGGTTGAAAGGAGGTCACTTAATAAACTTTACTGCTATCCTGAACAATACATCACACCCCCTCCATGACCTACTGGTCAGACAGCAGAGCACCTTTTAGCAACAGACTCATTCAGCTCTGCTGTAGTAAGGAACGGTACAGATGATCATTTGTACCAGCAGCGATTGCACTGTACAACACCTTCTAACTGTGCCAGGACATTATTGTACACTGAGCCACTGACAGGACAGATTACTATGCACTGCCACTTTGATTATAAATCTATACATATTTAATATTGCACTGCCACTTTGTTTATTTGTTCACAAATTTTGCACATTGCACTGTCACTTTGTTTATGTATCCATACATGTCATATTGCACAAATATTAACATTGTTAATCATAATTGTCGTTACAGTACATAGCCACCTGTGCATTCACTGGAGGGGACATGCACCACTGCATTGTCAACTGTATAGTATGTATACAATTTACTTTTTATTTTTTGTACATTGTGCATTTATTTTTATTGTTTTGGTATATTGTATCATTTATCTTTACTTTGTATTTAAGCATCTGTAAATAGTGTATGGCAAAACTTTGCTTCTATGCATTTTCCTTATGGTTTGCTTTTTACTATACTTTGTACTGCTGCAATAGTAGCCGGGATTAAAAAAGTGATCCATCCATCCATCCATCCATCCATCCAATATTATCACATGTAAAAGTTCGGGCACTCCTGGTCAAATGCTTTGAGTTTGATTGTCTAAGTGAAAATACATATACATCCTCTACAGATAACACATCTGCTCATTTTAATGCACACTTACGTATCAATAGAAATATACGCCATATTAAAGTTTGTTCCTGCAGAGGACATGTCAGTTTCCACTTTTTAAGTTTTCGCTTACAAAATCAACAAAGCATTTTAAACAAAAATCTAATGTTTAGTTACTGTAGGTTAACTTAATATGGGTGTGACAGTCTAACAACACTTGCAGTTGTTTTAAGTAACCATTAACACAATGTAATCTGCTTTCTAAATAAAACATTGTGAAGTAAATGTACAGCTCATAGACCCTTTGCACATGCTAATGTCAGGTCCCACACTGGTGCAACAAAGCAGAATTAAACAGAGCATCACTGTGAAATAATGGGTATTTATTTGTACTTTTTGATAAAATGTTCTGTTTTGCTGTAAGATATCAGAACTGCAACAATGTTTAAATACATCTTAGTTTTACTGCATTTCATCAGACTGAATTCCATTTTCAAGCAAACAATAAGGAGAGAGAACTCAACAAAGGATCACAAACAAGAAATCCAAGTAATTAACAATCACATAGCTCAAACATGATGAGAACTTGTGCTTTATGTACTCATTCAGTTAGACATTATGCAGCTGATCTCTTGGCACAGGAGCGCCAGCCCACATGAGAGCAATTAAGCCCCTCCTGAAAGTTCAGTGACATAGCTCAGAGGGATTCCTGGGTTGTTTGACCCCATGGACTATAAATTCTGACTTTCATTCTTTCATTCCTCCTCTTCCATTCAGGTCAGCAGAGCTGAAAGAACATCATCAACACCTCCAGTGAAAACTACTCAGTTATCAAGGTAAGGCAGCTGACTTAAACCAAAGATTATTATTGACTGGATGTATTTGAATATTTTTTATCATTAGTGCAAACGCCAACGTAAATGTTCACTGGACATATACAGGACTGTTTGCCATGACATCTTTCTGCCAAATTGTAGATTCTAGAAAAAACATGCATTTGCATCTTAATTATGCCACTGAACACTCTCAAGAAAAAAAGTACTTTTCGGGGTCCAAACACTGTCAGTGGGGTAAAAGACTCGAGGGTGCATCTTCAACACCTTTAAGGAACATAATTTTATTACATTCCATTGCAGTTATAGATTCATTGACTCCATACACCCTGTTTTTTACTCCAAGCTTTGAGTAATTACATTTGAGTATTACATTTTCTACTGCAAGAGTTATTGGGATAATCCCTTTTTTTCTGAAAGTGTAGCTAGTACTATCAAGCAGCCTAGTTAAAGGTTTTGGAAAAGCATGAAGGGATAGTTTAAATAGGTCATTACTGTAGCTTAGGGTCATTCAGATGAGTTCAGTGAACTGTGTGCAGTCCTCTGTTATCTTTCTAAAATCATACTGGCTTGGCCGTCAATGTGATTGTTCTTTGCTTCAAGTGGAGACAGGTGAAGCAGACTAATGCATATCCTGACGCCTAAGGTTTTCATTTTCATTTTTGACTGTAATACAGTTGATGTTAAATTTAGTGTTATGTGCCATCTGCCCAACAGTCTCAGTTTAGGAATATGAATCTTCTAAATAATCTTCATTCTAAACTGTCTTCATTCTTCATTAAAATCAGTCTTCAGACAGGGCTTGAGAGAATCCGAATATTGAGCTGTTTGTTGATATTAAACTGCATTTTTCTGTTTACTTGATCTATTCTATGATTAAGTACGTTTTTTGTTTTTTGTTTTTTTTCCTACAAAAGAATTGACTTCTATGCACATTCTTCTTAAAGGAATAGTTCAGTGAAATTTCCACTTTTCCCCAAAAAATATCATCAATCAAAACATGTTGCTCCTTTGTTTTTCCATTGGAGCTATAAAGCTAATGTAGGTTCTATAGGTGAGTGGAAGCTTTACCTTACCATGGTGCATTGCACAAGATGCAGTTGTCAATATGTTTTCTGACACCGTATGATAGAGTGTTACCTATAAAAAGTTTTGGAAAGCTAGTTTAATAATGTATTCTGGTTTTGATCACTGATTAGAGAAAAACTATCACATCTGTACTGTAAAAACAAATAAGTTCAGAGTACTCAAAACTTTTGTTGTAACTGATTACCTAATAAAATTTAAGTTCATGTAATAAATCTTTTAACTTAACTGTAATTGAAAATTTTATTTTTACTGTAATTGAAAATTATACTTTTACTGAACTATTTGTTTTATATAAATTTTATTTTTTCTGAACTCGCATATAATATTTACAATTTATAATATTTTTAAGTTCTACACACTACATTAGTTTTAGTTAACATTATAAAAGTAAATTAAGTTCTCCTAACTTAACAAATACCCAAAACATATAATAGTAGACCTCTTATTTTTATATAGGAAAATCTACTCAAAAGATTAAAGTGTGTCATACCCAAACACTGCTTGAATCCTAGTCAAGATCATTTCAACCAATTACATTCAAAATACCAAATTTTAAGCAAGTAATTCACAAAAACATGAATTAATACCAAGTAATAAGTTATTTATTAAAGTTATACAACATATAAAACAGTCTGCCATTCCAAAGGCACTACCAACTGTTATCAGACCTTGAAATATTTTCTTCTGTTATTAAATATTTCACAGTAAACACTAAACAACAGACTGAAAACACAAAAGTACACTTCTCTCCTCGAGCATCATTTATACTTACACAGCTACCTTAAAGGAAATAATTCAATATATTAACATTTATATTATATAAACAATATATATATTGATGTTCTTTATGGCATTCAAATGTGTGAAACACCAACTGCATAAACAACTATTGAACATCACAGTGAATGGTGTTTTCTGACATCAGGCTGAACATGATGGCTGGCAGAATATTAATTAGTAAGAATTTTGACAATTTAACAATTCAGTCTTTATACATGCACTATGCTTAACATTCAGTTTTTGAACTGTGAGATTTGCAATCAAGTGACAACACTGCAATAATATCTTGACAACAAATCAAACAATCAAATAACAACAATCAAATAACATCTAACAACAAAAAAGTTAAATCAATAACTGTTCAGTCAGTTGCATTTTTAAACTTTTTTCATTCTCATTCTCAGCACTGCAGTAACACTGACGTGGTGGTGGTGGGTTAGTGTGTGTTGCACTGGTCTGAGTGGATCAGACACAGAAGTGCTGCTGGAGTTTTTAAACACCTCAGTGTCACTGCTGGACTGAGAATAGTCCACCAACCAAAAATATCCAGCCAATAGCGTCCTGTGGGCAGCATCCTGTGACCACTGATGAAGGAATAGAGGATGACCAACACAAACTGTGCAGCAGCAGATGAGCTATCGTCTCTAACTTTACATCTACAAGGTGGACTGACAAGGTAGGCGTGTCTAACAGCATGGACAGTGAATGGACACAGGGTTTAAAAACTCCAGCAGCACTGCTGTATCTGATCCACTCGTACCAGCACAACACACACTAACACACCACCACCACCACGTCAGTGTTACTGTAGTGCTGAGAATGATCCACCACCCAAATAGTACATGCTCTGTGAGGGTCCATGGGGGTCCTGACCACTGTAGAACAGGGTAAAAGGGGGCTAACAAAGTATGCAGAGAAACAGATGGACTACAATCTGTAATTGTAGAACTACAAAGTGCACCTATATAGTAAGTGGAGCTGATAAAATGGACAATGAGCGTAGAAACAAGGAGGTGGTCATAATGTTATGCCTGATTGGTGTACACTGACACCTCCTTGGATCTTATGTGTCCAAGAGTGGACACTGAGTGAACACCTTAGCTTCACTGCTGTGTCTGATCCAAATGTACCAACAGAAAACACACTAACACCACCACCGGGTTATAGGGTAGAAGTAGGCTAACAAAAATGCAGAAAACAAACAAACTAAAGTGCATTACTGTAGAACTAAAGTGCAATTATATGATCAGTGGAACTGATGAAAATGACAGAGTGTAGATACAAGAAGGTGTCTATTAAAGAGGTTTGTCAGTGTACATGTATGGACCACTTATGCACATGGGCATTCAAGCTTCTTGCTTGGTTCAGTCTTTCATCAAGTCATTTTTCAAACTCAGCAGGCATGGTTTCAGTGGTTTACCATCATCCAGACACATCACTATTTTCTGAATAAAGGTGAATGTGTGGATGAGTTTCTTTGTATATTCTAAATTGAATGCATAGACCAAGCCAAACAACACCATGAATGCATCAGGCAACCTGGGAAGATCACTCACAACAATTTCCCCCTCAAGTACAACAGAGATGCTCTCGGGGCTGAAGGAGTCCACACCAGAAGTGAGGAGAGCAACAGGAGTGTCAGTGATATCTGGCTCCTCTTCCTGCTGCAAAATAAAAGCAATCCAATTATAAGGAGAGTTGCAGAAGGAAGGTTATAAGTCATTGCTCCAGTGACAAATCTTAACAAAATTATCAGATACAATTTTTGTTTACTTTATATGTATACACTGCATTAATTTATATTTACCCATCCCATTGCTTACATTGTAGGTCTTGAAGAACTCCGAGTCATCCTCGCGCAGGTAGACAGGAAGTGCACGAAGGGACACACTGCGTCTTACATTGGCATCATTTTCTACCTTGATTGACAAATCAAATTAAGTAGTTATTGTAAAAACTTTCTTAAGCATAAGTCTGTCGTACCTATACAATTTCTGTACAACAAATCAATCTTTTATTCCTCCGATTCAATTTGGCAGTATAGTGGTTCAGCTTCATACTAATACATACATTTCTTTTTTTAACTTAACACATTTTAAGACGGTTGTATTTGTTAAGCATTCATAGCCATTCATAGATCCATCTTTCTGGAATTGCCAACATTTTTAATTGACTAACTAACGAGTCTTAGACACACAAGCATTGTACTGTATGTATCCTTTAACCAGAAACAAGGTTGAATTCCTTTATTTCTGACCTCTTGTGTTTGGTTGGGTTGACCCCTAGAGACAAACAGTGACAGACAGTGTAACAACACAACAGTGACTGTAATTCCAGTCACTATCCCAGCACTTAATTGCAGGCTAGGTCTACCCAACAATGATCCAAAGATGTGCATAAAACATTCAATTAACATCTGTGATATGTTTGTACAAAATATAACAGTCTGAGTCAAGCTTCTGGTATGTCCCATGTGGTTCCTTTTAACTAAGATGCATTCATGTGATAATAGTCTGCAACTTGTACTGATAAAGAAAACAAAGAACCATACAAATAAAAAACTATGGCTATTTTGAGATGGCTCTATGTAATAACAGGATGATAAGCAAATTTGATATTTATAGTGGAGAGTTTTCAGTGCCTGGCCAAGTCTTGGTACATTTGAATCTACTGCATCAACTAAAGTTGTCCTTAGCCTTAATTAACCTCAACCTTAATTGAACTCTGCACCTTTGTTTGATTTACTCCAGTTTACTCCTTTAGTTTTGTGCTGCAATACTCTGAAATGTCTACACAAAATATGGTCAATGTTGTGCTGTTGGCAAAGTTAATCTTAAACATACCTGGCAATCATAAGTCCCAAGGATCTCTCGAAGCACCTCTGCTGTCTTGCCTGTCCGGAACGCCTTCTGCCTGAACAAGGCAATCAGTCATGGTGTGTGTCGGTCGAGTTCTGTGTAGAACTGGTTGCGCAAGTTCACATTTGTTATGGGTCACTGAGATTGTTCCATTGTCAAAAAGAAGTGCATATGTTTTTGGGCTATAAGAAAATGGTCTACAGTAGTAGTGTAGTAGTGTCTCTTCAAAAAGTCATTATCCTCCATCAGTCATGTAAAATACCAACAAGAATACAT